AGAATTGATAAAATATTAAAACTTATTTTATTGTGAATTCAATATAAAAATTAAACTTGTCAATAGAAACACTTCATTGCTACACATAGCTGATTAAAAGTCCATATGCCAAGCGCTACAGATTCTTTTGCAGTGATCTAGTTGTTGTTTGTAAATGCATTAGAAGGTGATAGTTTCTCTAGGTTCCTCAACATGTTTCACCATTATCTGGCTTCCTCAGGAGGACCTCAAGCCTAGAACACTGCAGCTTTTATGGACCACGCAACAAGATGAGCTGAAACATCAAAGGCCAGCTCCCCTGAGGGGGGCCGTGAAGGGGTGCAAAAAGAGGCAAATCCAGACCACCCACACATCAAAAAGACTCCACTTCCTCCAAAGCCAACCTCTCCGATGTCACATGCACCCTCTTTTTGACCCCTTCACGGCCCCCACTCAGGGGAGCTGACCTTCGATGTTTTGGCTCATCTCATTGCGTGGTCCATAAAAGTTGCAGAGTTCTGAGGTCCTACTGAGGAAGCTGGATAACGGCAAAACATGTTGAGGTACCTAGAGAAACTATCATCTTCTAATGCATCTACAAGCAACAACTAGATCACTGCAAAACAATCTGTAGCGCTTGGCATATGGACTTTTAATCGGCATTATGCACCAATTAAGTGTTTCTATTCACAAGTTTGATTTTTATATTGAATTCACAATAAAATATGTTTTAATATTTTATCAGTTCTGTAGTGAGAATTGAGTATCTTAAAAGCCCCACTCTCTCATTTCTTGCATACTTGGGAGCGTTAAATAATTATCTAATCTTTGGAGAATATATGTCACTGGGGTGTGAAACATGTTCTCACTCCTACTAACTGCCTATATTGTAATTTATTCATTATAGATTCCAGTAAAGCTGAACTTTATGTGTCTCTGGATTGCTTTTCAGTGGTGTTATCAGGGAGAATGTGTAAATTTTGGGACCTGGCCAAAAAGCATGGATGGAGATTGGGGACCGTGGTCAGTTTGGGGAGAGTGCACCAGGACCTGTGGCGGAGGAGTCTCCTCATCTATAAGACACTGTGACAGTCCAGCGTAAGTAGCTAAAGTAAGCCTGAGCCAACCTAAAGAACCATTTGGATCATGTTAAGATTTATAGTGTTATATTTTATGCAAATGTCATAATTTGTGCCTGGCTTGTCTGAGAATAACTAAACAGACCGTTGAGATATTAATGGAGAACTCCAGTTGAAGATCATCATTTAGACATAATTAAGAATTAATACTAAATGTGTCTGCATTTTGTTTGAATGTGCACTGACAAAAAAGCTAATGAGGTTGATTTACTAATGGTAACTAGGCTGTTATTCCTGCAGGCAAAGTTTCCCCTTACTTAGGATAATAAGGTTGACTTCCATCAACCATTCATGCGCAAGCAAAAATACTGTTTTTTCATTTTCCTTTCACATGATTGGTCATTCTTTGCAAAGTGAAATTTCAACACATTCAATAAGGTAAGGGAAATTTCCCCTGCAAATTGCAAATTCCAGTTGCAAATGAACATCCCATTTGCCTTTAGTAAGTCAATCCAAATCTGTCATGTTGGATTATGATTATCTATGACACAGGGTCTTCCTGCTTTTTCAAGACCGTCTCGGTAATCACAGACACAGTGCCATGTGGGCTTCTCTCATTGGGGGATGCAGCGGGCCTCCGAAATACTGACTGATATAAACTTTAAATGTACATACTTGGGGCCCTCTATAGAGAAATTCTAGACTTCTAAAAATATTTGTAGATACCTAGTGGTGACTGCTTTTACACAAGCAGCTTAATTTTACTAAAATTCATGGCAGGTGTGCTTGAAATACTGTATATGAGGATGGACTACAGGTCTAAGATCTGCTGCACATTCTGCAGGGTGCACAATGCAAGAGGCTGATCTTAAGTCAAATTCAGGTACTTACACTAATGCTTCTATTTATAACCAATTTGCAGAGCAAAACATCATTCTATTCATAACCAATGCACAAAGTGAACAAACATTCTGAGATATATTTTCTTTTCAGGTCCAATGTATGTAAAGTAATACTGCATTTTGGGCACTGGATGGAGTGCAGGAGCATAGGAAATAAGTGTTTATTTCCTATGCTCCTCATCTCCATCTAGTGGCCTTAATGCAGTATTACATTACATACAATTGGCCCAAAAAGAAAATACAGTATATCAAGAACACTGATTTTTGCATCTATTCTCACAGATCGAACGTTCAGAAAGATTTGTAGGGTGAATGGCTTTGCAAATTGGTTATAAATAGACCCCTGATTGTTCTTTTAAAAGACACTTTGTTAAATGCATTCCTGCATACATTGGTGTATTTTTTTGCCTTAATTTAAGCTTTAAAGATGGTCACATTAAAGGTAACTATACAATCAGACTGTCACCTTAAAGTAGTAATAAACTGTCAAACTTTTTGTTCAATAATGAATCCAGATCAAACAAATATACATTGACCAGCAAAGTATTTCATTAAGTTTTTGCCCAAATAATTACAATCATCATTTTTCAGAACAGCTCCAACTCTCTCAGCTCAGATACCCCAAATCTACCCTGCAGCTGTCCACCTACTAGCTTGGAATTTACACAGGCCCTGCTGTGCCTGTGTAAATGTGGAGACACACACCGCACCACACAATTGTATTGTATCGTGTATGGTCACCTTAAAGGGGATTGTACAGGTTGTAACCTGTGTTGGTGAGCTTTACCTGTTGTAAGCAGCCTTAACAACAGTGGAGAAAGTAACTGGCTATTAGGGGAATACACTGCTCCTCATCCAGATGCATCCTATAATATATACAAGGCCATTTAGTCATAGAAATGTTCGTTCATTTTCATGTTATACTTGTTATTCCCACTGCTCCAACGTGCTTGTCCAATATCACGCTGGGCACTACAAGCCAAGTTTGATATTATTAAATTATAATACCAAAGACAGTGAGATCACTGAAACACAAGGAGATGTATTGTGTCTATGGCGGTATCCCCAGCGAGATTTTATTACATTTCCAGACACTCCTAGGCTCAGAGGGACTGCAAATAGTTAACAGGCAGAGATCACGGCATGTTTTAACTACTGTTACGTCAGTTACTTGGACATCACCAGAAAGCCTGAATATACTTCCATGTTGTGATATGTGAATATCTGCAGCTGCTTGATGATTGTGCTAAATTACAAGACATACAAATGTAAATCACAGTTTCTTTTTACAGACCATCAGGAGGAGGAAAGTACTGCCTGGGAGAGAGGAAACGCTACCGCTCCTGTAACACTGATGTAAGTACATATTATATTGTCCATCTATTTAAAGTGTACGTCCACATAACATAAAAAAATATTTAAAAATTGCTGCTTAGCTTTTACCTGTGCTTTAAAGTTTCCCTCTTGTGTGTAATGTGAGAGAGGGGGATGGGGAGTTCATGCTTACCATATTTAACCCTGTCTGTACTGTGGTGGCAGGTCTCATTACCAGTTGTAAACTAGATTTGAACACTGTCATCACAAAGGGTTAACGATCTCAAGGCTTGGGTTGTACATTATATGTTAATGAGGGAAACTCAGTCCATACCCTTTGTGTCCCCCTACACTTTCCCTTTGAAATTGTTCAAAGTAGCTTGCAATCTGCCCAAAGGCCTGCTTCAAAGAAACATCTAAAAGGTAGAAAATATAAAAAGAAAATGATAGGAAAATATATTTAAAAACACATGTTAAGGTATGCCGTGTAAACATTACAAACCTATAGTGTGGTTTTCACCAATTTCACTGCAAAAGTGGAAATACACATTGGGGTTCATTTATAAAAGTTCCACTCGGCATATAGCTGGGTGGATGCTGTTTGCACCGCACTAGTGCCCCTAGATGGTGCTGACGAGATTAGGAAATTCCTATACTGTACTTGTCAGCATCATCTAGGGGCACTAGAGCCATACGAATGGCATTCATCCGGCTGTACACCAGGCTGAACTTTTATAAGTGAACCCCTTTATGTCATTCTTAGAATGCCTGTACCCACACAATGGACATACGTATTTGTGGTATAAGCTGTATTTAGCTTCTGTTTGAACCACAGTAGTGTACTCTGCAGGACTCAATGGTGCTTTAGATTGCAGGATGGACTGGAAGCGTATTTGAGGCTTGGCTGATGTAAGGTGTTTTTATATTTTTTTCATTTTTATTATACATATATAAATATTTATATAGACATTATAATATTGCATATTACATATACATATACTTGAAACGCATTGGCTGTCCTTCCTTTGTGAAAAAATTGACTTTTTACCCGTTTGATCTGGCGTCCATTCAGTATATGTGTTTACTGGTAACTTGGGGTAGGCAGATTTCAGCCCCACACTGTGCATGGTGGCGCAGACTGGCATGCACCAAAAATGGCAAAAGTTTCTATAAGTCTGCTTAATTAGTGCTTCATTTGACAAATTAATAAAAGTGGCGCACACCAGTTTGTTAATTTGGCGCATGTTGATGGTGGTGCGCCAGATTCAAGTGCACTTACTCTAGCAAGTGACAACATTTTGGTGCAGTTCTGAGTTAGTCTTCCACTGGCATCATCCTATATTTTCTCCTTCCTGCATGTTCGCACCTCGCTGGCTGTCCTTACCCCCCCTATACTCACTGCAGTGCTGATCGTCACTGTCGCCCAACCCAACTACAGTATTTACACCACCCTGGTAATGGTGTCTATTAGAACTTTACATTAAAACATTATAACAAGTGATTTATTATTTTGGAGCACACAATCGTACATTTAGGCAAACTGTCACATAGCACGTTTATGTGACTTGGTGCGGCTGTAAATAGAACTTGTCTTATAATATTAGTAATTTGGTGCACAGAAAATGCACCAATCAGTGCTGATTTGTTTCTCCTTTTACACAGTGCATCATGTTACGCTAGGCACGTAGGCCTTGGACTGTCCAAGCCGTTAGTGAGGCATTTAAGCTTCCCATACACACATCTAACAGATTCCTCCATTGATGCTAAAGAGCGTGGATAGATGAATCTCCCATGTTGGACTATTGTATTCTGACAGCTGACAGTTGTCAGAATACCCAAACAGTGACTGCAGCTGACAAATCTTTAACTGGCTCCATATTCAATCAACTTTTGTTGAGCTTGGTGGTCTGGCAGGGCATCACACTGCTCCTACTGACTTGGCTGAACTTTGAGCAATGTATGGCCAACCCTTAACTCCAGAATTAACTATCTGAAAATGTTGACATTCTGTACATGATAGATGGGTTATTTAAATCTGCTGTTTTCTCAAAACCATTTATGCACAGTGTCAGCATCCATTATGCCTTTAATCATTTTCAATGACCTCAGTCTGCTGATTGTGCTCTTTTGTCTCCTCTGACTGTTCCTTACACAACAATATGACTTTACTCCTCCAGGTCACCTGTTATGGTATGCTGTAGGGCTGTGCATTCTTATTAGGCAATAATAATTAATTTAGAGGACCCATAAAGAAGACTTTGAAAGACAGGATATGAAAAATGGTACTTGCAGCTGTTTGGTAGAAGAGAAATTATGTCCCATGCTACTCTGTGTGAACTCTGGTGGCCCGTGGGGGTATTCAAAAGGCTCCAATACGTTCTTGCTGATCAAATATCTTACTCATAGTTACATGACTAACTAGGTTGATAAAAGAGACCTGTCCATCAAGTTCAACCTTTCACACCCCATCAGTGTAGGTTCAAAGAAATGCAAATTCCTTCCGGACCAAATAAATGGCAGTGGGATTAATCCCCTGATTTAGAATCTCCCCATACTTTATTTTCTTTTGTCATTATAACTTTGGATGCTATTATTTGTAAGGATAAAATTTGGTCAAATTCTTTATTCTTTTATTTTTTTACAGTTACTATCTCATACCATAGGACATTATAGAGCTTAAATGGTAAGGGCACCTTTACTGCATTACCCTTTATGTGCCCTATGCCCTTCCCTATCTTTTCTGACAAGCCACCTGATCACCTGTTTCCTCTACACTAAGACCTGTGTGGCCTGCATCGCACTATATAGCCTCTGCTTGAAAGCCCTCACTGTTGGGTCTGGCTCTTCCTTACAATCTCCATTCAATCTAATGGCAAGTCTGTGCTGTACACATCCACTCCTCCTCTGAAGTAGTGGTTCAAGACCAGTGAGTGCACCAAGACTTTATTAGGCTGGGATAAATTAAAGTAATGCTTTATTGCCCTAATTGTTATCACATCTTTAAAACTGAACCCCAGGGAACAGTTAAATGCAACATTGAAATTGGATGGCAGCTAGAGCACAATAACAGGACGCAGACTGTTTCTCTTCAGTTTTAAGCAGAACCATAAGGGGAAAAGTATTGCTGTCGATAGGAACTAAAAAATATTGCACCTTATGAAGACTCTATAACAGGGGTCCTTATACTTTATAAACAAAGAGCCAATTCAATGTCCTTCAGACCTTAGGGGGGCTACACTGTGGCCAGTGGCAGTTGAAAATTCCCTGGTGTCAGTGGGAGTAAGTATTGGACCAGACTCGGTGGTCAGTGTGAGTAAAAAAAATGCCCCAGGCTTGCTGAGCAGTGGGAGTAAAAAATGAGAGGAGGAAAAATCCCATCTTTGGTGGCAGTGGTAGGAATTGTGCCCAATCGTTGGTATCATTGTAAGAATAGTACTCCATCATTGGTGGCAGTGGAAGGAATAATGCACCATCGTTGGTGTCAGTAGAAGTAATAGTGCCTCGTTGTTGGTGTCAGTGAAAGGACTAGTGTCACATTATTGATTTTAATGGTGCCCCATTGTTGGTGTCTTTGAGAGGAATAGTGCCCCAACCTTTGTGTCAGTGGGTTGGCTATAGTTCACAAAAACTACAACTTAATAAGTTGTAGTGTAATGTAAAGCCTGCCAGTCCACATTTGTGATATTTCAGATGCTTAAACCAGTCATATACACTCAGTGGCCAGATTATTATGACCACCTGACATTTGTAAGAAAATTAGCTATAATTAGCTATAATTTCGCGCTGAAGTTTCTAGAGGGCCAGACCATTATAAATATGGAAGCAGGTTGTTTACCACGACAGTAGAAGTGATTTTTTTCTGAAGATACGGGTAAACAACGCAATTTAACAGCCTTTGAACGTGGGATGATTGTTGGCGCTCAAGCCATGGAGCGAGTATTAGCAAAACAGCAGAATTAATTAAATGTTCAAGAGCAGCTGTTGTTAAAGTGTTTAAAGACTGGACTGTCAGCCGCAAATCTGGGTCTGAATGTGCGAATTGTGGCCGTCAGCGACTAGTCAATGTTAGGGCAGAACGGAGAGTGGCAAGACTGGTACAAGACAACAGAAGGGCAACAGTGCAGTGTCAGATTCCTCGCATCACCTTTCAACATCTCGTGGAGTCACGAGGCGGCCCAACAAAGTCATCTCGTGGAGTCATCTCGTGGCCCAACGAGATCATAATAATCTGGCTACTCAGTGTATACTCTAACATATCACCAGTCTAGTTTAATTTCTGGTTACCAAATTGCAATTAAAAACCCTTTTAGGGCAGTGAAACAGGCTCACTCCATTTCCAGCACCCCCCTGGCTGCAGATACTTAATTTGGCCTGGTCTGTTTGCCAGTGTAGCACCTAGGACTCCCTGGTATGTAAAAGTGTGTGCCCCACTACTCCTACAATGCAGTGCTCTGTGCCAGAGCAGCCAAGCAGCAGGTCTAAAACCTAGGGGATGGTTTTACCCTGAAAGTAGTGCTGACCCTTACCAATCTGGAGCATGTTCAAGAGTCATGGTGGACAAACAAGGAGTGTGAGCAAGGAAAGTGTCAGTATCAGCTATCAAGCAAATCTGTTATTTTGAATGGGCTTAGTACAAGGTTGGCTTATAGTCTAGAGCCTTGGTTCTCAACTGGTGTGTCATGACCCAAAAGTAGATTGCGACCCTGGGTTCAGTGGGTCACCGCATGCTTTCCACTTTTCTAGGTGAGAGGCTCCTCAGTCTACCCCTAATGCAGCACTGTCAGTTCTCCATCCATACGTGGATTGCTTACAGCTCCCTCGCATGTCCTGTAGAGGTGCCTGGACCAGAGTGATGTCACATTTTGGCTCCCGACACCTCTACAGGGCACGCAAGGGAGCTGCACAAACAATGCACATATGGATGGAGCTCCATCACAGCACAGCAGCCCACACTGGACGCCAGGCTGAGGATCCACTCCAGTTCTCTTCAGATAGGGAGACTGGGTGGACCTTAAAAAAAGAAAAAACATTAAATATTTTGG